AAAAAAAGTAATACATACCACCACCTCCACCACCTCCACCAGTAACTCCAGAAAGTAAGCCTATTATTGAAAATAGTGCAATCAAATGATTTTAGAATAAAATGATTAGTTTGAAATTAAATTGAAACAAATAAGACTGGTGCAGGCAACTTAAAAAATAATATTAGCAAAAAATAGTAACCTAACTAGTAATGCTTAACCCTCTAATGCATTAATTTTTTTGACATGAGAACTATTTTTCTATGATTATTCTGAAATTCCTTTAAAAAATAATCGAAATTCAAAAAATTGCATAGTTTACTCAAAAAATGCTATTGAGAAAATTAGAGAACAATCGAATCCATTGTTAAAACTGCTATAAAATTGCTATAAACGAAGAGAGAGATAATTTTTTTGTCAAATTTCTGTTTTCGCGTACATCTGTGTGTACAACCGCTTTATTTTCACTTGTCAAATGACCGGCAAATGAAAGCCTGAACCCTGATGAATATATTTTAATTCATAAATAGAATCATTTGTTTTTTATTATATATTTTAGACAATAATTTATACACCCTGCCTAAAGGCAGGGCTATTCACTAAGGGTTAAATATCAAACTGATCAGAATATTTGATCACGAGCCCAAAACAAAGCGTATATTTTTATTCGTACATTACACTTTCTTTTTTTATTTTTATTTCTTCTTCCTTTTTCTATATTGAACTAGTTTGTCATCGTCTTGTTTTGCTTCGACATTGCTTGATAGAAACTTGCGCACTTTGTTGGCCGAAAAACTTTTTTCTTTGTTACGTTAAGTGAAAATAGTATTTAATAGAAATGAATTTTATTTTTTTAAGCATGTTTGCATAGTTATACTAGTAGAATTTTTACATAATATTTGAAAAATATTAGCAAAATTAGCAGTAAACTATGAAACTAGTTTTTACTAGGTTTTGTGTCCGTCCCCTAGAACTTTGAATGTACATACCACCTCCACCACCACCACCACTAGTGACTCCTCCAGTAAGTCCTCCTAAGCCTATTGAAATTTATTAAATGATTTTAGTAAATGTGTTCACTAGTATGCTCACATAAAAATTAAGTGTAGTAAATTAGTACCACAATCAAGTAAATCGACGAGTGTTTAACATTAGCTCAGTTATTAATCAAATCAAGTCATAAAATTACCTCCTGACAATCCGGAGACCAGCAATAGTGCAACGAATATATTAACGAGAATGTTCATTTTCACGATAAATTTGATTGTTTTATTTCTTTAATAAAGAGTTTAATTAATTTGAATGCAATCGATTTAATTCAACTGTGTTCAATTGATTATTTGATGATTTATTATGAGCAGTGCAGGCCCTTTTATACCCAATTTTCTGTACCAAAGAAGTCTTCAGATTGTGACGTAGTTTTATTCCGATTTTAAACCAATTTCATCATTACGATCTACTCGAAAACAAAATATGTACGTCATATTTACGCGGTAAATATTTTCAAGTTACATTTATCCACGCGCCGCGATTAAAATAGATAATTCGATATTTTGAGATGCACATTTAACTACACACAGTTACTAAAAATAACAATTTTTGATAAATATGTCTGATATTTCTTAATTCGATTTACGTAGAAAAATTAAATTATTGAATAGGATATACGAATTTCAAAAGATGGTGTCGAAATTAAAAATAGAGTACAGTTCGACTAGGCAAATTTAACACTGGTTATTCTTAAGAATAAAAATTTTCGCTTTTGCACTGCATACAAAAGACACATTTACAGTGTGCCGTTATTGGATATAACTATATTATTTTCAGGACAAGAAACAGGAACTTGTTAAAAAGAAGATCGATTCCACTTGCGAAACTAGACAATTTGAATAAAACAATTTTTCAGAAAATGTTGTCATGTGATATATATATATATATATTATGACTTTAGTAGACACACACCTAAAAATTATAGCAAATCGCTGCATAATAGCTACAGCAATCCCAAAACTGTATTTTCTTATCAATTTTTAACAATAGTTTTACACCGTTGGTTGATCCTTTTGTGTACAATGAAAACGTAACTTCGACATTTGACACATTCATCTACTCTGTATGCCCAACATAATCCATTGGATATTTAGGTATTTATGAACTAACCAAATAAAAAAGATACACTCACAATAGTAGTAGGAAAAAATTACAAATTTTCATTTGAACACAAAGTAAAGTTTATGTTTTCCTTCTTTGCAAGCAAATTAGTGACTTATTTTGTAGATATACGCTTATATATCAATGGTTCATTAAATTATAATTTTAAAAAATGCAATTACGAAAGAACTGAATATAATTGGGGATTTTTTTCCAAACCAAATGTTTGTCTGGTTTACAATTACGTAAACTTTACATTCTGGTAAGTTGAAACTGCTTCGATACTGGATATGAATTTCGAGTCAACCAAACATGAACAATTTTCCTCGGATTGTGTCACGTAAATTGCATTTTGCATAGTTAAAAATTAGAAAAATAGAACCAATATTTATTCCATTAGCAACAATATCCAGAATCAGACATTTCATTTCAATTGAAAAAGTAATTCCAAACGCCTTTGATTCTGATATTTCCAGTATTCACAGTACATCATTATATTTGTAATTTGAAATCCATAAATGAGATGAGTAAGACAAAAATAATTCGAATTGACTTGATTAATCTGGATATAAATAAAGTGATAAAATGTATCAGTTGCTCATAGTCACAGAAAAAAATACACATCGAGTGAAAAAATACAAGAATTTTGATAAAAGCGCCAAAAAGTTGGCATCAAATTATTGTATGAAAACTGCAGTGAGTGTATACAATAAATCCAAAGGAATTACTCATATTGTGAATTAAAATAAACATATCGAGGAAGAAACAGAAATATAAACAAGCAAATATTCAAAACACCTTCATCAACATGAAAAAGAAACAAAAATTCTTCTCTGAATTACTGACAAATATTCATAGTCATTTTCGATAGATTTTTGCGATAAAACACTATAAAGTTATAGGGTTTTACTTCATTTTACGCGTCAGACAGTCAAAACGGTAGAAGAAAAACTTTATACTAGGGGGAATTATCTATACGTTTATACGGTTTATACTCAAGTATTTTTTACCGAATATTATAAATAGATGAAGATATCGCAAGTATGCCGCATATACGCTGCATATATGCGTATAAACCACATAAATACGGAGTTATTTGCAAATATTATTTGCAAATATTCTTCGGTATATACGGTTTATATTCTTATACGCAGCATATTCGTAACTTATTTTATTCGATATTTTCCCCTAGACTTTATAACTATATTAGCAAAGCTCTGGCCAGACATTATATTGAGATATTTTCAGCCAGATGAATCAGGTCAGGCAACTGACGCCAGGCACTGAAATATAAAGACAACACAAGAAGTGATTGTTATAGTTACTAAAACACTTCCATTCTTACAAACAACATAATAATCACTTCCAATGTTTGCACACCATTTCAGCTCCTGACGATAACAGCTTTGTTCAATTTTGCACAATCATAAGTGAATCATTTTAGAACACAATTGAAGACTTTGCCACCAAACTCCATGGATTTTATTATTCGACAGGAGATGAGAATGCAAGAATTTGAGATGATACAAAGATTAAACCCTTTTTTTTTACATGTATTTGCTTTTGGCAAAATGACGACAATTGCAATGATTCAATTTAATTTAAAAAGCAAGAGTTGAAGAATCCTAAAAATTGGTGATGGTTTTTTATGGTTATTCGTGGCCCACAAATTGTGGGCGTTTATTTCTCTATTTGGCTTGCGCAGCTGAGATATTCCATTCCAGTGACGAAGAATTTATTCTATCAACGAGTAATCAGACTAGTCTAGAGAATAGTGTATTTTTAAAATACAATTGAAAAAATAAATAATCAATAGAATTTCATCAGTTAATGTTTTTGTTTCGAGTGTATTTTGCGATTCTGAGTACGGTTATTATAGTGAGTTTTTAGTTCAAACAAAATTCTTTTACAAGTTTTGTTCCGATTTCTTGTCCATAAAATACTTTATATAAAACACATGACTAATACGTCAAAAGTAAAAAGCACAAATTTAAATGCTGGTGTATTATTTTATTTTGCCAAATATTTAATTTTGAAGAGAAGTATTACGACTAGAAAGTGCACTAAGAAAATGAAACTAAAAGTAGCTTAATCATGTTAGCTTATTCGTTCTGGGTTTCGACGATATCCATTTGGGGCAGTAATTGCACGACATACCTACGAAGAGAATAAAATTCAATAATATTCAACAATATTCTATTATATTTTGTATCAAATGTACTGATTTGGTTTCATTTGCATATTTCGCAAGTAATTATAGAAAAAGTTTAACCTTTTTGTGTGTTAGAAAACATATTTCAATGAAGAAGATGAGCTTACCACCAATTCAACAAGGTCCAAGTAATGAATCGAGTAAACTTTGAACGGAGCACAAGAGCCCATAGACTAGATTGCTCACAGTACCACTCAAAAGCCCTCCTTTTATTAGTCCTGTAACTAAGCCTACAACGTTTCGCAGGAGATCATTTAATAGACCAGGATTACAAGTTGAGCCATAAAGTAACCGATTAACTAAGTCTTTAACGGTTTGTAGAAGTCCTGATAATATACTGTTTGAAACACCGGGGCAACTTCCAGACGAACCCAATAATTTTTTTACTAGATCTACAACGGATTGCACGAGATTTGTAAGTAAACCATTACCACCGCACGAATCACCATCCAACAGTTTTAGAAGGTCCTTCACAAGCTGTGTTACCACGCCATCACTACCAAGAAGTCCACCGAGCAGACCACCACCCGAATTACCTGTTGAAAATATGATAAACAAATGATTTCAGTATATTTCAGTGGACGAGCTGACATGAAATGCTATAATTTGAAGTTTTCTGTGGAGACTGTACTGTTCTTAAAATGCAACTCAAGAAAAATCATCAAATCAATTGGGAAAATTACGATGGTTATATTGAGTTTACTATGTGTATTTTTTAAAGTTCTCTTAGGTAAGGAAGGAGAGTCTTCCAAAAAATATGCGGTTATTTGATTTTTTTTACCACCAAGTCCTAACGCCCCAGTAACACCTCCAAGGAGTCCTCCCAACAAATCATCTCCTGCATAGACATAGAGAACAAAGAATATTTTAGTGAAAATATTCATTTTCACAATATTGATTTGAAGTGTTTTTTTTTTGTTTGTTCAATTGGGAGTGTTTTTTTTCTTTCAAAGTTCTATTACCTCCATCAGGGACACAAACAGCTCCGCCTCCGCCACCTCCACCACTTCCTCCGCCTAATTTTCAAAGTAAAATTTTTAGTATCTTACCACCCTCTTTGTATAAGTATGGAAATTTCAAATGTTGTAAAAAAATGCGGTTGTAGAATTTTAATAAGTAATGACTGTTAACAAAATGAACAAATATGAATATCTATTTTGCCATTCGTTTGCAACTTTACTGTAAATCTGGACAATTACCACCAAGTCCCCCTAAGCTTCCAGTAAGTCCCCCCAAGCCTCCAGTAAGTCCTCCTAAGCCTCCAGTAGTGCCTCCAGTAAGTCCCCCTAAGCTTCCAGTAAGTCCCCCTAAGCCTCCAGTAGTGCCTCCTAAGCCTCCTGTAAGTCCTCCTAAGCCTCCAGTTAGTCCACCTAAGCCTCCAGTAGTGCCTCCAGTAAGTCCCCCTAAGCCTCCAGTAGAGCCTCCAGTAAGTCCTCCTAAGCCTCCTGTAGTGCCTCCAGTAAGTCCTCCTAAGCCTCCTGTAGTGCCTCCAGTAAGTCCCCCCAAGCCTCCTGTAGTGCCTCCAGTAAGTCCTCCTAAGCCTCCTGTAGTGCCTCCAGTAAGTCCTCCTAAGCCTCCTGTAGTGCCTCCCAACAAATTACCTAATGCTGAGGCATATGTCGTCAAGAAGAGAATAACGAATATTTTAGCGAAAATATTCATTTTTACAATATTGAACTGTTTTTTTAATTTAAAAGATTTAAGTTAATTTGAATGCAATCGAATTAATTCAACTGTATGCAATTGATTATCTGATGATTTATTGTGAGCAGTGCATGTTCTTTTATATCCAAAACGTTAAGATTGTGATGGAGTTTTAATACACTGTCGTACACGATATATTATTAATATTTTTCTCGTTGCGATTTATTTTAAGATTAAAACGAACTATATAAAGTTAAGAATAGGGTTTTTATTGATAAATACTGTTGGTTAATATCAATATGTCAATATATCAGTATTATTGATGCGTCTCAGTTCAATACTAGGTTCAATAACATTTTCTGTGCATCTGTGCATCTGTGAATTCCAATTATGAATAATTGTCTGTGTACTACTTACTTGGTTAGTAATAAAGTAATTTTATCATTGCACACTTTGCCTAGTTTAATGAACTTTTTTGCCTATTCTAACAACCACACTTGAAACATGTACATTTTTATACAGAGTAAAACGTTTATTATCAAAAATATCCGTGCGGAGACATATCACACATGAAGACTTGTATAAGGAAAACCATGAAACAAATAGAAAAAATTATATTTATATCAGATATGAAATGAACAGACATTATATTTAAAAAATACAAGAATGTGAGAAAACGCCAAAAAGATGGCAACAAATTATATTTTGAACCCTTCTAAAAAGCTTTTGAGTAGGTTAATTCACAATATAAGCAATAAAATATCGTAGTGAATTTGAACTAACTAATAATCAACAAGTAGATGCTCCCACTCCCTTGGCTCATTTTAATATTGATTATTTGTGTTTTGCTTTTATTTTTTAGTTTGTTTTTAACAAACTATTTAGTTAGCGCTACATGAAATGTAGAGCTATTGTATTTTTTGTATTTTTTAATGTATACTATTTTTATATGTATCAAGTAAAATTGTATGGCGTAGTTGACCAATCTCTCGTGTTGACCATCATGGTGTGCCCTATTGCGTCCCAATTGGGTCTTAAGACCCAATGGGGACTGTTCCGGGAACAAATTGCATTTATCACTTCTATACGAATTTTTCATTTTCGAAATTCATTTTATTGCATAAACCGATAAATCTAATGATTTCCGATAAATTTGTGCAAAAATTAATTCAATAACTTCCAAAAGGACCTAATTCTATAGTTCAGTCATTTTTGGTGTAGGTCGACGCCACCGTCTACATAGAAATCTACATTTAAGCCAGCGCCATCTAACGTGTTTGATAAAGAACAATGCCAAAAAGTGAGCCAGCTGTCATTGCTTGCAAACTTGTCAAACCCTGCGGCTATCATAACAAAATAACGTACGATAGAAGGATTCACCCGAAAAATCAAATGATATAAATATAAAAATTATTTTATTTTATTTTTATTATTCCAATTATTTTGAATGATTAATACTTTTTTTGTATTATCATCGTTTTTAATATTTCCATTTCAATTTATTTAATTCTTATTTACGATCATGCATGCGATGCAAATGTGCCGTTTGAGAGTTAAACGCACTCTGCTCAGTTATGACAAATGTGGGGTTAGACAAAATGTTAGTCAAAAACTGCTGGCTCACTCGTTATATGAAAAACTGACATGGTTCTTTTTTCACAAAAAAGTGGCACTATAATAGAAATGTGTTTAACAAAAAATGTGATCTGTCTGGCAAAATTTCAGCTTGATCTACAAAATTTCATGACGTTTGGTGCATAAATAAATATAGCTCAAAAGTTCACATTTTTCAAAAGATTCAAAAAAATAAAGTTATTCGAAAATTCATTTTGCGGCGTATAAAATTAATATAAAAATTGTTTTAGATTCCCCATCAAATTACCTTTCGTCCGGTATATAGTTTATGGGGTATACTGCCTTTTTGAAGTGGGAGCTGTTGAGGCAATATGAAGAAAATATTGGCAAATTCAATTTTCAAGATACAATTTATTAAAAACTTTTGTGGCTCTTCACTCAAAAATTCAAGATATGGATGTCGAGTAGTTTTTTTTTCTTACCAGTAAAGGTATCGAAGTGTTAATAAAGGTGTTAAATTTCCTTAGTACAAATCGATATAAAGTGGCGAAAAAAAAGTACGTGAAAATAGGGGGTGCCCATACCATGAGGGAGGGTCAGGGGAGCACCCCACCATGTCTTTGGTCGGATAAAAAATAATGTACTACAAAGTTGTTCAGAATGACGAGAGAATTTTTTTAGAAAAATTCACGAAAATTTCGAAAAGATACCCCGAATTTGGGTCCATATCCCATCTAACCCCAAAATTAATTACATATTCGGATTCCTCGTAAAAAATTACCAATAGGCTTCATACATTGTCAACTGTCTCTTGACCTACAATTTATTCCTTCTAGCTTGTACCTTTAATTCGGGTCGAAAAGTGAAAACAAATCCTAAACTTTCGGTGGGTTCACCCGATGATATTTTTTAATCAAAAATGGTGTCGTATTATTCAAATCTGAATGGGGCATCTCGATACCGAAAACTTTTTTTTACCCCTTTAACCCTCAAACGCACACGTGGGGTCTCTTAGGCCCTAAGAGTTAGTTTTTTGAAAAAATCACAAAAATATAAAAAAAAATTGGAAAATTTCGCTGAGCGTTTTCTTTTTTAATATCATATCTATGTGATAAAATCAAAAATTTCAATGTTTGGTGCATAGATGAAGTTTTGGGAAGTCTTATACAAAATACTAACGTAAAAGCACAACGGGGTCTTTTGGACCCCAAATTATTTTGTATGGGAAATGATGTATTCTGTATGGGCCAATATGAAACTCATGGAGATTTGTTGACACAACAATTTACATTTCATCAAACAACAACACAGTAAATTGTTTCGTCCGTGACGTATACTGTTCATCGCAAATCAAATGGCATTTGCCATTATAATATATATTCATACATTGTTTTTTTTTGGATAGGATAGATCCGTAAGATCTCCACAAGAGCTTGATCTAAGCGTGCATACGCCGCCGCATGATATATCCGTTCGTTTTTCTGTGTTGCTTCGACGCGCAAATCAAAGCAGGCGTGCCAATCAAAGTATGTATCATGCGGCGGCCTACGCACGCTTAGATCCAGCTCTTGCGGAGATCTTACGGATCTATCCTATCCAAAACACAATGTATGGGCATATTTCGTGAATTTGGTGAACGTTGCTGGTGTGGCAGGAGTTGCCTTGTTGCGAACGTCTAACAACATGTTTGCCAAGTATGGAGGAAGAACGGAAGCAGCGCGATCTCATCGCACTCCATATAAAGCAATGTAATTGGTTTCGATCACGCAAATGTGCTGCCACCTGGTGTCTCAGAGTTAAGCTGATATATCACACATGCTTCTTGCAAATGCAGAAGAAGAGGAAGGAAAAATGTTTACATAGGGTTGAACTTATAAATGCCAGAGAGCTACAGTGTTCAAAGTGTGATCGCCCTTCGGGAAGCAGTCTCTATATTGATCTCACATATCGAGAGGTAGTTCTATAGATGTCCTATTAACACAGAAATATTAACATATCTTATTACTAAATACGAAAAATCCTTTATTAACTATTAACAACCAATCATACTACGCATATTAACATGAGTAGTAGTATTAGGATCGATGTTAATAGCGAGTAGTAGTATGTTTATTATCTATTAAGATGCCGAAGTTAATACGCGCCATTTGCAATTTTTCGTAAACAAACAATATTTTGACCGATTCAATTTTTATTACATTTTTTTCTTATTTGTAATTTTTATTGATTTTTTTAATTTTTTATGA